AGTGCTGGTGGTTCATGCCTGTAATCCTGACTACTCAGCAGGCTGAGATCTGAGGATCATGGTTCAAAACCAGTCTGGGCAAGAAAGTCTGTGAGACTCTCATTTCCAATTAATAACAAGAAAAGCCAGAAGTGGCACTGTGGCTCAAGCATTAGTGTTAGCCTTAAGCAAAAGGAGCCCAAGGACAACACCCAGCCTCAGGACTGGATATATATATATATATATATATATATATATATATAGAGAGAGAGAGAGAGAGAGAGAGAGAGAGAGAGAGAGAAAGAGAGATATGATTTTCCTGGTGCCAGACAGATAAACTAGACCTGACCCATGAATGAAAGAATCTCTGTGGCAATCTTAATTCTCTGTGCAATTCAGGAGGGTCTGGAGACAGAGGACCTTGTCCTGGGTTCTGCTCAGGAGGCTGACTTGGGGTGGGGGTGGGGGAAGGAAGCAGCACACTGTAGTTAAAACACAAGGAGGGATGGCACTTGCCTATAATCCAATGTAATCCAATAATCCCATTAATCTGTCATAAACTACTGAAGAGTAGGAACTGGAGCCATGGTTCAATTGGCAAAGTACACTAGCTTTGAGCACAAAAGCTCAGACACAATGCATAGGTCCTGGCACTAAAATAAATAAATAAAACCCTTCAGGGAAGAGGGACCATGATTGTTCAGGGGAGAAGAGTGGTCAGATTTTACCTTCAAGGGCCAACCAAAAGGTAGTTGTTCTAAAGGTTTTCAGGCAGCCAAAGCTTGTTTGTCTATCAGCTTGGCCAATTATCCTCTCTGTCATGGTTGCCATGGGGAAATAGTTAGAAATGACAAAAAGCAGACACCAAACACCACCTGGTACATCATGTAATAGGACCTTTTGAGTAAATGTGAGTGAAAGGTCTACAATTGGATAGCACAGAGTTTGAGTTGGATGCTGATGAGGAAAGCAAGAAGGTATGGACTGATAGCAAGAGTCCTGGAACTATTCCAACAAATCACTCTTCCTCCTCTAGCCTCAGTTTCCCCATCTGCATATGAGGCCTATTATACCAGGCATTCAGACCTTCAAGATGCTGATTCAAAGGTGGAAGAGAGGAGGTAGACTGAAAAGTCTCTGGTAGTAGAGGGTTGGCAGGGAGGCTGGGCAAAAGTGTAGAAAAGTCTCTTATTACTGTTCAAAGGACCAAGGAAATAGCATACCTGCAAACCCACATTCAGTGTGGCTAAATGTTTCATTTAAAATGTATAACACAAACTTTTTTTTTGTCGGTTGTGGGGCTTGAACTCTGGGCCTCAGTGTTGTCCCTGAGCTCTTCAGCTCAAGGTCAGCGCTCTACCAGTTGAGCCACAAACCACTCCCGGTTTTCTGGTGTTTTATTGGAGATTAGAGTCTCCTGGACTTTCCTGCTTAGGCTGGCTTTGAACTGCAATTCTCAGATCTCAGCCTCCTGAGTAGCTAGGATTAGAGGCGTGAGCCACCAGCACCTGGCTGCAAACTAATTTTTGAGTAAAGTATGTTCTATTAGTTGACCTTAAGCAGTTAAAAAAAATGTCTGTGTTGGGCTGGGAAGTTGGTTCAGTGGTAGAGTGCTTGCCTCGCATGCATGAGGCCCTGGGTTCCTGGATTCCTCAGCACCACATAAGCAGAAAAAGCTGGAAGTAGCGCTGTGGCTCAAGTGGTAGGGTGCTAGCCTTGAGCTGAAGTGCTGAGGGACAGTGCCCAGGCCCAGAGTTCAAGCCCCATGACTGACCAAAAAAAAATGTCTGTGATGATATCAGAATTTCAACCTCAGGGCCTTGTGTTCACTTGGGTTTCTTGGCCATGGCTGGTGCTCTACAACTTGAGCCATGCTTCTAGACTAGGTTTAGACTGGTGATTTTGAAGATGGAATCTTACAGACTTTTCTGCCCAGGCTGGCTTCAAACTATGATCCTCCAGATGTCTGTCTCCTGAGTAGCTAGGATTAGAGGCATGAGCCAGGCACCCAGCTTGATTTTATTTAAATAATGACTTAGGATAAGAACCACATGGTTATCTCAATAGATGCAGAAAAAGCATTTGACAAGATCCAGCACCCCTTTATGATGAAGACTCTGGAAAAAGTAGGAATCCATGGAACATTCCTCAATACAATAAAGGCTGTATATCACAAACCTATAGCTAGCATTATACTCAATGGTGAAAAACTAAATTCATTTCCTTTCAACTCAGGAACGAGACAAGGAAGTCTACTCTCTCCACTTCTCTTCAATGTAGTATTAGAATGCCTAGCTATAGCAATAAGAAAAGATGCAAACATAAAGGGGATCCAAATAGGAAAAGACGAAGTAAAACTCTCCCTCTTTGTATTTAAAGAATCCAACAGACTCCACTCCCAAATTACTCAAGCTGATTCAAAACTTTGGCAAGGTAGCAGGGTATAAAATTAGCCCTCAAAAATCAATGGCTTTTCTGTATGCCAACAATGAGAAAAATGTGGCTGAAATTAGGAAAGCAACTCCATTTGTAATAGCCACACAAAAAAATAAAATACCTAGGAATTAACTTAACCAAAGAAGTGAAGGACCTCTATGATGAAAACTTTAAAAACTTGAAAAAGGAAATCAAAGCAGAACTTAGAAAGTGGAAAAACCTCCCATGCTCCTGGATTGGAAGGATCAACATCGTGAAAATGGCAATACTTCCCAAGGCTATCTACAAATTCAATATGATACCTAGTAATATTCCAACCTCATTCTTCAAGGAAATAGAAGAGGCAATCCAAAAATTCATATGGAACAATAAAAGATCCTGAGTAGCAAAAACGATACTTAACAGAAAGAACAGAACAGTGTTGGAGGAATATCAATAACAAATTTCAAACTCTACTACAAAGCTATAGTAATCAAAACAACCTGGTACTGGCATAAGAACAGACCTCAGAACCAATGGAATAGAATTGAAAACCCAGAAATGAACCCACAGACCTATACCCACCTAATCTTCGAGCAGGGAGCTAAAAAAATAGAATGTAAGAAAGACAGCCTCTTCAGTAAATGGTGCTGGCAAAATTTGTTAATCACCTGTAGAAAACTAAAGCTACATCCTTATATATCACCCTGTACCAGAATCAACTCCAAATGGATCAAAGACTTCGAAATAAAAGCAGGCACATTACAGGAAGGAATTGGAGAAACCCTAGGTCTCCTTAGCACAGGCCGAAATGCTCTTAATAGAGACCCAGAAACACAACAAATCAAAGAAAGGTTAGACAAATGGGATTGCATGAAGTTGCAGAGCTTCTCCATGGCAAAGGACATAGCTAGCAAGATCAATAGAAAGCCCATGGATTGGGAGAAGGTCTTCACTAGCTATACAATGGACAAGGGTCTCATATCTAAAATATACCTGGAACTCAAAAAAGTAAATCTCCCAACAACAAACCCTCAAAGAACCAACTGCCCAATAAATAAGTGGGCTAAAAACTTGAAGAGAAACTTCTCTGAAGAGGAAATAAGAATGACCAATATGAAGAAATGCTCAAACTCTCTGGCCATAAAAGAAATGCAAATCAAAACAACATTGAGATTCCATCTCACCCCAGTTAGAATGGCTATAATCAAAAATTCTAACAACAGATGCTGGAGGGGATGTGGACAGAAGGGAACCCTACTGCATTGTTGTTGGGAGTGTAATCTTGTTCAACCACTTTGGAAAGTAGTATGGAGGTTCCTCAAAAGACTCCACATAGAGCTTCCCTATGACCCAGCAATCTTACTTTGGGGCATTTACTCACATGAGCACAAACAAGACCATATTAAAGCTACCAGCACAACTATGTTTATTGCAGCATTATTTACCATAGCTAAGATATGGAACCACCCCACATGCCCCTCAGTAGATGAATGGATCAAGAAAATGGAATTCTACGCCTCCATCAGAAAGAATGACATTGCCCCATTTGTTAGGAAATGGACAGATGGAACAAATTGTATTAAGTGAAGTAAGCCAGGCCCAAAGAAACATAGGTCCCATGGTTTCCCTTATTTGCAATAACTAGTATATGTCTGAGACAAGCAGAAAAGGTCAAAAGCTATGTATATATGATCAGATAAGATGAAATTAAGCGAAATGAACCCCAAGATAGGGACACAAGTGTTTTTTTCTTCCTTGCTATTATTTGTAATATATTTATAAGGTACCATGTGATTTTTTTGTTGCTTTGTATGTCCCTCTCTCACCCCTCTTTTCACTGTATTTGATGTTGCTATAGTTTGGGGAGGGGAAGGGAAAAAAACAAAATGTTTAAATAGGGATACAGGTTGACCCATTGCAACAATGGGATATACAAGTCACTATGTTGAAAAACCAACTTTACAATTTAGGTGTGTGTGTGGGAGTGTAGTTATGGAGGTGGGAGGGAAGGGATGGTAGGGGAAAAACAAAGGAGGAGGCAACAATGCTTGATAAGAAATTTATTCATTACCTTGCTCATGTAACTGTAACCCCTCTGTATAGTATTTTCACAATAAAAAACTTATTAAAATAATGACTTAGCACCCTAAATATGAAGGAAAATTCTTGGGACTCCTTAGAATCATACACTGAGCATGTGATGTGGAGAGAGCAGGCTATGGTTCCTGCTGTGGCTAGAGAGGGAACTAAGGGATACTAAGACCGTTCCATTCATGGAAGATAAGGCTCCTTTGGTGGCTGACTTTGCCTCAAAGACACACTGACTATTGATCTTGCTCCTCTCAGGATTCATTTGTTCTGTCTTTTTCTTTCCCATGAGTGTTTTCCCTAGGAAAATTCTCACTTGTGTCATTCTTCCTTGACACCTGCCTCTTTTTTGTTTATTTTTTGCTGTGGGCACTGTTCCTCAGCCTCTTTTCATTCAAGGCTAGTGCTCTACCACTTGAGCCACAGCATCACTTCTAGCTTTTTCCGAGTAGTTTATTGGAGATGAGTCTCATGGACTTTTCTGCCTGGGCTGGCTTTGAACTGTGATCCTCAGATCTCAGCTTCCTGAGCAGCTGGGATTACAGGTTGGAGGCACCAGCACCCAGGCAGGTATTAACCTGCCTCTTATGTGACCTGGACTAAGACATTGGCCACTGTCTCCTCTTACCCACTTCTCCTTCCTATGCTGCGAGATGCTTCTGGAGTCCTACCCAGAAGCATGGCTCTGGAAGAGGCCTTGGTGGGCATATGCGCTGGGTCTTCAATCCCCTCACCCCATGATGGTGGGGTAATGTGGCAGGGTGAGCAGGAGCAGAAAGTAGGCCTCCTTGTTGGAAATGTAAATCTGTTTAGTCCTCCAGATCCTCATCTTCACCCTGTATTCCCTCCATATCACCCTCCTGATTTGCATGCCTTTCTCATTCACCATTCCTGTGCATGCTTTTCAAAAATACTTTGTAACCAGCTAAACTGCAGGTTGTGAGCATGTGTCCTAGGCCCTTCACAACTCTCTATTCTGTCAGCCTCATGAGAGTCCAGTAGAAAACAGAGGAAATTAAGGCTCAAAGACAGACAGTGAGTAGCCACTCCAGGATCTTCTGAAGCCAGCCCCTGGGCTCTGCCATGATGTCTTGCCAGTGCATGTATGTGTGTGTGTGGGGGGGGGGAGTGTGATTGCTCAGTGCTCAGTGTTACACAACTTCTTTCCCTAGTTAGTGTTCATCAGTTCTTTAGTGTTTCAAATGGAGCCACTTCATTTTGTCTGGCAGACCACTCAACTGGGGAAACAGAGCACCAATCATATTGTCCCCTCAGGTCAGCGAGGCTCCACCCCCTCAGAACCTGTCATTATACTTGCAGTCTGGGTAGCGGTAGGCAAATCTAGGGTCACAGGTTCTAAGTGGTCTCAAGATGTCCTTCAGTCGACTGGCAGCCCCAAAGACTTCTGAGTCTGGGCGGATGCCCTGTCCACACTGGGCAAGAGCAGAGTCTATCTCCACTTGTACCGGAGAGGGAAATTTCCCCTGGAGAAGTTGAGGCAACAATTGCTGGCATACAAGCACCACACTCTGCTTGTCAGGGATGTTGTCGCAAGAGGGCAGTAGCTGGGCCTGGCAACCAGAAACCAGGCAGCTAAAAATGTCTTGATTCTCTCCTGCCTTGGGGGCTGCTTGGCTGCCTGGAAAAAGAAATGGCAACATTACACATTTTGCAACCCGTTTTCAGAGGAGGGCACCACCGATGAGAATTGTTAGGTCAAGTGGGTTAGTCTCCAAGCCTAGATTTAGGGCTCAAGAACACGATGGACCCTTCTGAGAACATGTTAAACCCTCTTAACTCTACCAGAGGTTGAGCTTAGAATTATGGAGGTCATATCCAGATTGTACTAATCCTATTAGTACTGAATTTGACAACCAAGGAAACTGTTCTAAGTGCTTTCATTTACCAGTTAAAATCCAAAGTCAGAGTATTCAAAGTCAGATTATGCACTCAGCAAGTGGAAATGGAGCTGATTTACATATCTGGAATGTTCTGGAACCAGCCTAATTTCTTCCAATTTGTATCTTCTTAATAAAAGCTAATCAGAAAATGAAGAATGGTTTCCTTCTTTTATTCTTGTAGATTTCTTTATATAAACAAAATCAGAAATGGGAAACAAAGGATTAGAGATTTGTCTCAAGTGGTACAATTCCTTCCTACAAAGACTGAGGCTGAATTTAAAAGCTGGTAGTGTCAGATAGGTAGATAGATAGATAGATAGACAGACAGACAGATAGATGATAGGTGATAGATAAGTGATAGATAAATAATAGACATTGTGAGAAATAAGAAACAAAGGAAGGAAGGAAGGAAGGAAGGAAGAAGGAAGATAAGAGGGAAGGAAAGAAGGAAGGGAGTAAAGGAAGGATGGAGGAAAACCTTCTGTCCTATTATAGGGTTCAGAAAATGTGTTCACCATGAGAAACTGAAATGTTTAGAGGAGTCCAGAGCCAGTGAGCTTTTGCACATAGTGAGAAGCATGATTCACTCATACACCTCGTTTGGTTCCATGCTTTTACATTTGAAAGCTTTATAAAAAGCGAATGTGCCAACATGAATTACAAAATGTACCAGTGAATCAGGCAGATATTTAAGTTTCAGAGAAGAGCTAAAAGCATCTGATGAAAAAGACTCTGAGGGGGAGATAGGCCCAGAGGGTGTGTGTGTGTGTGTGTGTGTGTG